CTTCCCAATACTTTTTTTAATAAAAAATTTAAAGCTTTTTATTGTGAATTGGATGAAGATTTACTGAAAAAATAATTTTCCATTAAGCAATTCATACACGTTTTGTTTCATGTCTTTGACTGTTCCTCACAATGTAACATTTCTTATCCCAGTTACTATGTTTCCTGCTTCCATTCCTCCTCCTATCCTAACCCTTATGAACTTTGTCCTTAGGCAAATGCTTCTCCTTTGGTCTCAAATGGTTGGTTATTCCAAGATGTGCTGCGTCTTTAGTGTTCTTATTTGCCTTAGAGACCTCTTTATTGTTGGCAGAAAATTGAGCCATGGGGGTGAGGGGACTAAGGGTCATAGTCTTGGGGGTACCATCAGTCTTATCTGACCAGTAAGCCTTTTCTGCCTTAGGATATTGAGTTATTTTCCACAGTTTCCTCCCACATGATCCAGGACCTTTTTAGAATCATCATTTTTAGAGCTGGGCAGCATCTAGTTCTCCTAGTATCTGGATTGAGTAGCTGGGGTCTACATGGTCCATGATCCATGGGACTTAATTATTTCTGTAATACCTTTGATTTTCTTCATTCTGTGCATTTCATGGGAAAAGACTAATGGTTGCACTTCATATGACAGCTTATGTGTTTTTAAGACCCCAGTGGGTAGCTATTCTCATAGTGACCCAATAAGACAAGGTAGAACTGCCCCATGGGTTTCCGAGACTGTAACTCTTTATGGGAATAGAAAGTTCTTACTCCAAAATCAACTCGATGACATTGAATTTGAGCCAGCTAGCTAGTCACTGGTAGAATGTAGAGACATTGTCTTTGTGAACTATGCTATGCCAGTTGACCTTAGTGTCCCACTAAAACTGGGGTCCTGAGCCCTCATGTCCAGTGCCTCATTCCCTCAAGGTGCTTGATTATAGTTACATTTTTATAACTGTGCCCCTGTATTCTCTACTATTTTTATGCTTATATCTGCAATGTGTGTAAATGTACATGTAGAACTATCCTTTTACAAACTTGCATAGATCCATGAGTGTAGTCTTAATTCTCCTTACACTGTTCTTGACTTTATAATAGTGCTCTCATAATTTTCTTTTGTGGTTGACTTATTTCACTAAATGTAATGTCATCCAGGTTCATCCATGTTTTGAGGTGTTTTGCGTATTCATTGTTATTCTTTTATTTTGTGTAGTGTCCATTGTGTGATATACGATGCTTTGTTTATCCATTTTTTCCATTGGTGGGCATTTAGGTTGCCCTTACAATATTTTTGTTAATAGAATCCTTCATAAATACCATGAATATTTTTTCCACTTTTTATTCATTAATTTATTTCCTTGCTTTTTGCTTAAGAAACAAATACACCGGGGGAGCGGGGAGGGAGGGGGAAAAAATGAGGACCTGCCGGGGCCTTAAGTGGAAAGCAAATGTTTTGAGAATGACGAGGGTAATGAATGTACAAATGTGCTTTACACAATTGATGTATGTATGGATTGTGATGAGTCGTATGAGCCCCTAATAAAACGATAAAAAAGAAACAAATACACATTTTATACATAACTATACACACAAATTATGCTTATAAAATATTCAGTATGATTTTTCATAATAAGCCTTCCTAAATGACATAAGGCATATTTATTTGAATTAAGACAAATATAGTTTTGCAAAATGAATGGGAAATACTAAGTTGGCAGTATAGAACATTTTAAGTGGGGAGATTTTGAATGTGCATGTAGTATAATCTATGTCCTAATCTTGAAGATTATAGAGAAGATTTATTCTTTTTCTGGAAAAGCATTGTATTAGGAGTACAGTATTCAGCCCCTGGAGCTAGATACTGAAGGTTTTCTTCTTGGTCTCACCCTTAGGAGCTAGGCCATCTTGGGCAATTTAATTAACCTCCCTTTGTCTACTTTCTTATCTGTAGAAAACTGGTAATAGTATATCTCGTTGTGTGGTTGTGAAGATTAAATTTAGACTAAAAAAAAACCAGAAAACCTAACCCATAGAGACTTGTAGCAACCCTATGGAAGTAGAATGGCTCAGAAGGTTTTCAAGACTGATCTTGACAGGAGCATACTGCCACTTTTTTTGCAGGAAAGTGGCTGGTGGATTTGAACCACTGATTTTTTTTTCCTGTTAGCAGCTGAAAACTTCACACTGTGCTCCTTAAATTTTGACTAATACTTAGCAAATCCTAAGTGTCCCAACAATTGCTAGTTGTTATTATATCTTTTTATTTTCTTTTAAAGAGGAAGAATCTGTTTCTTTTTTATATTGCTAATTTCATTTTCTCAATTGTGAAGTAGATAACTTTTATACAGGAGGAAACAAGCTCAGAGACATTGTTTAGTGTTGAATATAATGAAAGATACTGGATTAGTGGTGCTGTCTGGTAAACATTGGATTGGTAAACCTGCAAGGTCAGTGGTTCAAACCCATCAGGTGCTCAGTGAGAGAAAGATGAAGCTTTCTGCTCCAGTAAAGATTTACACAATCTCTGAAACTCCACATATGGTTGCGATGAGTGGGTACTGACTTGATGGAAATGAATAAAAGTGCTCAAATACCAGTCTTGGTGGTGCAGTTGGTTAAGCATTGGCTATAAATCAAAAGATTGGCTGTTTGAGCCCTCCAGTATTCTTCAGGAGGAAGGTGAGGCAGTCTGCTTTGGAGAAAACTCACAGCTTCCACGCGGACTTAACGGGGCAATTGTGCTCTGTTCATATGGGGTCTATCGGAGTTGGAATTGAGTTGACAGCACTGGGTTTGGTGTCTTTTGGTTATGTTCTAACAACTCTGCATCTAAAAAAAGCTTTGTTTTCTAGAATCTTCCCAATTATATTTATTTTGGGAAATTAAAAATAAACATTGGCTTAGCAGTTTTATAAAATATGCAATTTTAATTTAGTGTAGGATAAGGAAAAGCTATATCCGTATAAATTCTCAGCAGACTACAGTATGATTTATATGTTGAGCTTTATCCAGTATTAGTTCCAAATTTCTTAGGTTATTAAAATTACTTAAAATGCTATCACTTCTAAGATTCAGTTCACATGATTTCCTCTAAAATATTGTATAATTGGAGTAGGGCTACTGCTAAGTAGGCACTTGCACTGAATATAATAATAGGCTGTTTTTTGAACATGGTACATCTGACATTCTATACTTAAAATAATGAATCTGTGTTTTGTGCATGTAGAAGCAATGGAAAAATAAATATGCAGTAGCTGAAAGTCAGAGGCTACCAGATCGTTCAAAAATGACTATGAGAGACTTCATATATTACCTACCAAATAACAATCCAATGACGTAAGTAGTTTTTTTTTTTAAGTTGGGTATGAAGTGATTTAAATAACACTTTGAGAGTACACTTTGAGAGTTCATTTTATAAGTTTGTTTCCTGAAAGCATGTTGACAAAATTGATAACATTTATGTCCTTTTAAATAGAATTTATACCAAAATCAGTGATGCTTCAAATATCTCCATTCTTGGTGTGGTACATGATGTCCTTTAGCTCTGTGATTAAAAATAAATTTTCTCTGTCATATTGACTACCAGAATATAGTAAGTTCAACTAAGCCACTGCTCCTAAGAGTGCAATTTCTGTTTCTCCTATGCTATAACCTGACCTAACGGGCCAATCTAATTTCCTAATTGCAATGGTAGTGTGATTACCTATTCTCCAAGAAGAAAGCATCTTTAATCCAAGTTAGTCCGAGGAGCAGAGGGCTTATAATAAATTTAATTTGGCTCATTGGTGTGTTGTTAATGGCTTAGCAAGGGGAGGTGGGAATAATAGCATATTATTCAGGATGGGCTTTTTGCACATTCACCGGGAAGGAATGGCCCAGAATTTTTATTTGAGGTGTTTGACATCCAGGCGTTTGAGAAAAGCTAACCTAGGTTGCTTCATGCTGCGGGACTAGAAGATTCCCTTCATTGAGGTGTAGAGGGCAAGAACATTTCCTGCTCAGAGTCTTAGAATTATTTGTACTAGATGAGGAAAGTTTTTGACTGAAAAATTCATCATTGGACCAGTTCATCTTTAATAGAAGTGTTAGAGCATATGAAACACACAAACAAAGATAGCAGCATGGAAGTGAAGATAATTGCCTTCTTGCCTACTGATTGAATTTACAAGATATCAATTAGGAATTTATTTAAAATTATTTTCTTATTTGTGTTTGATAGTTCTTCACTTGAGCAAGAAAAGAAAACTGAAAAAGCATCAACACCTGTTCAGACAAAAGAGTAAGCATCTCATGCTTTTAAAGAAAAAACTTTGTTATGGGCACATTAAAAGAAATACAATCAAATGATTCTGTTATAGTAAAATTTGATAGGTGTGTAAAAACTAGACTCACTGGCAAGTCAAATTTCTTGCCTGATTTAAATCAGTATAAAAACCCCACTATATGTATTACATTAAATAATGCCTAGTGTGTTTTAAATTAAAGCCTTTGGAATTACAAGTTTTTGCCTTTAAAAAAATAATTATAATTTACAGGCATAAAAGTTAAAGGAACAAAGAGTATATTGAAAAATATCTTTTAGCTTATTCTGCCATCTAGTTCTTCTCCCTGGAGGCAACAAATGTTACACTTCATTCCAATTCTAGTTTAGTTAATCCACGCAATTATGTCAGTCTTTTTCTTCTTTTAAAAAGAAGTGTTTTTAAACACTATTTTATATATATATGTATGTATATATAACATACATACAGACACGTTATATATGTTGTGTCTCTTTTTTTTTAAAGTTCCATTTTACCTTTCTGTGTCATCTGTTAAGTTTCCCTAGGAAGCCTATTAGGAAGTTACTGTAACCTTGTAACTCCAGGCAGGGATTGTGGAAAGTAAGAGAAACATTTGAGTTTTCTGCTGTTCACTTCAAGGTTTTCATTAAATAGCAAGGGCCAATTTGCCCAAGATTAACAGTGTTTAAAAGTACAATTTAAAGCTTTAAAAATGGGTAATATTTTATAAGTTTGTATGTTATACTCAATGAGTCAATTCTGAGTATAGTTAACCTGTGGGCCGTAGTAGAACCTGATGCTCAGGGTTTCTGAGGCTGCAAATCTTTACTGGAGCAAAAAGCCTTCTCTCTCTCTGGGTGAGCAGCTGATGGGTTTAGACTTCTGGCCTTGTGGCCATATAGTGCCCAATACCTATCCTTTAAGCCAACAGGGCTCATTTTATATGTTATATTTGCTATAATAATACTTGGCTTAGGGAGTTAGTATCATAGAATGGGAAGTATATGGGATTTGGATTATTATTTGGAAACTTGTGTTTGACTTCTGACTTTACCCTTACTGTTACATTACTAAGAGCAAAATGTCTTTATATTTTGTATGTCTCAAATAGGAGTTCTGCTGGCATAGTGGGGCTGCTAACCATAAGGTCAGCTGTTTGAAACCACCAGCTGCTCTTTGGAAGAGATATGAGACTTTTTACTCCTGTAAAGGTTAACAGCCTCAGAATCCCACATGGGCAGTTCTGTTTTGTCCTATAGGATTGCTATGCGTTTGAATCCACTCATTGGCTTGAGTTCAATTTCTGGAAGTCTCAAATGTATGAAAATATTACCCCTGAAGGATTGTTCTGTAGAGTAAGCACAGTGATCTGGAAAATAATGCTATAGAACAATAGGCATATTATTGTTAATTCAATAATAACTGATGGTTTACTTTTGCTCTTTGAGATGGAAAAGATGAGCGTTCATTTCTCTGTTTTGGAAGACAGTAAATGCATCTTATGGATAGACTGCTGCTGGAATAAAATCTGAGGAAATCTTATAACCATGTGTTCGGAAGCACGTGTTTTCAATTAATTATATGGAAGGTTGGAAATAGCTAGAAGGTTGAATTTGTAATATTTTGTTTTAGAAGTTTGAATTGTTTAGAGAAAATGTCTGAGGGCTGTGTGCATTAATTTGTTGTTATTTTTGGTAGTCAAGAAAGTAAGAGTACTCCTGATGCTGAAGAAAGTGACGACTTGGAAGAAGAGACTGATGATGGACCGTTGCTGGTTCCTCGAGTGAAAGTGGCAGAAGATGGTTCCATTATTTTGGATGAAGAAAGGTAACTTAAAAAAGGTGGGGTGGGGCTGGGGAAGATTATAGTTCAATGAAATTAAAAAGGCTTTGTTTAATGAGAGCAGGTTTCTGTATCTGTCATCACTTCGACCCTGATGTTTATACTTGAATAATGGATGTCGTAAGTGGAAAGATATGCTAGTTTGCTTAAAATTGTTAGCAATTCATATAATGCTGTGTTTTATATAAAATTTTTAGCAGTTTATCTAATGCTGTGTTTTGTATGTGAAGATGTTACTGCTGGCTTAACCTAGCATCCTTTTTTCCTTAACTTTATTGGCAAATGAACTGAGCTGCTCAGCTAATCACATGCTGTCCTCTGCTGAGGATCACTATCTAGGATTGACTCTTGGTCTTGAAGTTAGCAATCAACTTTTCATCTCATTAATCCTGTATTCTGGTGTGTACCAAAACCTTATGCGCATATGATGAAAGGTTTTATGAGTTTTGCTATGGTGAGGTTTAGTTCACCTGGTTTAATTTTTAAGTTATTATATCCCTCAAATAAGTTAAGCTTTGTGAAGTTTAGTTGTGCTTCCCAAGTATATATATAGTGATAGCTCAGTTGTCCAGCGGCTCCAAGCTTGGAATTTTCCACTACTTGAACAGCAAAGTTCGAAACAAAATCTTCGTGACATTGCCTGATGATCAACTGAAAATCTGACTTCAAAAAAGCCTGTACAGGCAGTGAGGCACGTGCCCTATCACCGCAGATACAAAGGGGTGATGCTGTAGTCTAAGTGCCACTGTCTCTCAGACTACATATAGTGTTTGTGTTAATGTGTTAAAGCATTCATCGTTGTGCTTTTGTGTGTATGTGTGCAAAATACTGTTACCATGGCACCAAAGAAAGTTGGTGATACCAGAAATAAAGCTCAGGGGAGAACTGTGAGAACCACAATAGAGTTTAAGATAGAAATCTATGCGAGATTTCAATCAGATAGCCAGCTGCTTGTCTGATTTGGTGGCTGAAGTCAACATGACCAACATTTTTTGGGAATAAATGTGCTTAAAGTAGCTAATGTAGCCAAAGGTGTGAAATAGTTAACCACAAAACAATGAGAGCAGACTACAGAAGAGGTTAAAATGTGACTGTTAATCTGGATAAATCAGAAACAACTTTATGATGACAGGGTATCCGAGACAGTGATATGTGAGGCAGCTGAAAGCCTCTGTAATGATTTAAAGTCTTGGTAAAATGAATTTAAAAATGTAATTTTGGGGCCTCAGAGCAAATTATTTGGTTTTCCATTTCTTCTCAGCCTTTTGGCTAAGATCAAGTGCAATTATTTGGTTTTCCAATATTTTTTAAGGGAAAAATATGTTTGTAATTGAGTGTTACCACCTAGGGGTCACTATATCTATTTTATTTTATTTTTTCACTGTATGTATTTTAAAAGAACATAGTTAAATAAATATAAAAGCGATGGAAAATATTTTGTCAATTTAGTTAATGAGAAAAAATTTTCCAACATTTTAATTGTGTGATAATTGTAAATCCAATGTTGTTAAGAGATTTTTTTGTGCTGTTCTCCGTTAGTTTATGGTGATGGTTTTACTGATCATTAAATAGCTGAAAGCACGTTACTTTTTTGATGGAAAGAATATAAAAGACAAATATAAAATGCTTATACTCATCAATGTCCCTAGGTGGTAGGCTTAGCATAATAATAACTATTAAATATGGAAGGCTTGCAGAAGCCAATACAATTATTTTTCTTATGTAGTCTAAAGATATTTTTTATATTCTTAGGAATGAAAAAAAATAAGATACCGTTGTAATCACTGGGGAATCACATTTTAATGAATATTGACAGATACTTGGAATAATGTGTATTTTTGAAATGATTACCATTGTTAACTTCAAAATATAACTATTTAAATATCATTTATTGGGTTTTTCCTTGTTTTAATTGTGGATCTGTTGAAAATGTTTTTCAGTTTGACTGTAGAAGTTTTAAGGACGAAAGGTCCCTGTGTTGTTGAGGAAAATGACCCCATATTTGAACGTGGTTCTACAACTACGTATTCCAGCTTTAGGAAAAACTATTACTCTAAACCATGGTCAAATAAAGGTAAATAGTTTACATTTTAAATTGTGTAATTTAATTATTGGAAATGATGTGAATTATTAGTATTTTTTTGTTTCCAAATTAAAGTCTGTTCTAAGTAAGTAAATTGCAAAATAGAATGTTATTTTTCTTTTTTTTTCCATAGTAATTTTAGCCTATAAAGTAGTTTAATATATTAAGGCTAAAGGTAACCATTGTTTTATGCAGAAGAGGGTAGTTTACATCCTAGTACATCCAAAACATACTAGTTTACATCAGAATCTTTAAAAACAAAAATTTACCCTGTTACCAAGAAGAAAACAAAACATGGGCTTGCCCAAGTTTTTTCATTCAATATATCTGCTTTCTAACTACTTATAGCTGGTGGACAAAGAATTATCTCAGTTTTTTGATGGATTGAGAGGGGAAAATAGTTGAATGGTCTGATCTGAGATGTTTTCTTTTTTAGCAAAAAGCCTTCACTTGAATGTTATTTTTTCTTCCAAATTTTAAACAAATTTTGTGCCACTCCTTCCCTCTGTTTTCTGGACATGGAGTTTTATCTCGGCTTTACTGTAGAAATTTTTTCTGCAATTAGCTTTATAATCATTTTTGTGGGACTGTTCCTCTATGTCATATTCTTATACAACAAACACCATTGTAATGACACAAAGTTTCTACTGCTCATAATATAACAAAGTATTATAAAACAAGACCTTATGGATAAAAGTTACGTTGTTTAAAAGTTACGTTGTTCAAAAGTTACATTGTTCAAAATTATATGCTGTATTTTTACACATACAGAGGCCATGTAAACAATGCTCACATAGTGTGCTTAGGAAAGTTATGTGGAAGGGGGTTGCACAGTTTGCAAAAATCCAAATAAATCATAAAATGCACATTATTTGCCTAAAAGTATAGTAATACCTATTGTTTGCTGTTGCTTATGTACTTTTTATTATAAAGACAATACTGTTTGTTTTAGAAAAATTATAAACAGGACTGAAACATATCTAATGAAAAGATTGTATACTTCTCCCTAATGCCATTTTCTTGAACTAAAGTGTGTATCTTTTTTTTTTTACCCTCTCCCCCCAAGTGTGTATCTTTTTAAAATCTGTTTTCTTTCACCTGTCACTCAGCACAACATAGTTGATTATGTAGCATAGTGGTTTACTCGCTGTAACTGACAGTATTCTCTAGGGCATTTTAAATGTGATCATATATTCCAACTGCTTTGGTATGAGCAAATTTATTACATTCTTTCCTTTAAAAGTCTTAAGAAAATGGTTTTAGATATTTTATGATTGAAGATTTTATGGACTTTAATGCAAAAATGTTAAGTACTATTCTTTCTTTATTTTTTAAAAATCATTTTATTAGGGGCTCATACAACTCTTATCACAATCCATACACATATCAATTGTGTAAAGCGCAGTTGTACATTCATTGCCCTCATCATTCTCAAAACATTTCCTCTCCACTTAAGCCCCCGGCATTAGGTCCTAATTTTTCCCCTCCCTTCCTGCTCCCCCCCTATTCTTTATTTTTAACTCTCAGTAAATACTTATGAAAGATTTTCTCCTCTCTGAGATACTGAGATTTATTTTTTCAGTCATTCTCAAACTTTTATTTTTGCAGAAACAGATATGTTCTTTTTAGCTATCAGCATGGTGGGAACTGACTTTTCTATGATTGGACAGCTTTTTCCTCACAGAGCAAGGATAGAAATTAAGGTAAAGTAAACACATTTGTTGTTTGGAAAGAGATCAAGGTGCTAATGTTACTATTATTTTTCTTATCTTTGCTTTCAGTCTGTTCTTTTTCACTTGTTTTTGTTGTTCTTGCTCTTGGACATAGAATAGCTAAAAGGTAGTATAAGAGCTGAACAGAAGATTTCAAAGGGTGGCTTGAGAAGACAAAGTAAAGTATTATGAAATGTGCAAAGCCCTAGAGTTAAAAAGGCTTGGATCGTTTCTAATCAAGGAAAAGGAGCTAAAGGCCAAGCAGAGTACCACTCCTGAGCTGAGGAAGCAGGCAATCTTTAGTGGCAGGGTTCTGGAGAAAAGGGAGTTATGTGGATGGGGCCTCATAAACTTGATGGAAATTCTCCTGTGACCTTGACCTAAGTCGGGGTTGCACATGCCCAGAATGCCGGACCTGAGGAGAGAAACTGCTATTGGGAGGAGGTCAAAAAGAAGCTACCATAGACACAAAATGCCGGTAGATGATAGTCTTCTAGCACAGATGAATTGAAAGATCTGCTTAACTCCCAGAACCACTAAAAAGGCAACTATTTAGAGATAAGGACCACATCCTAGAGGGCTGTCTGTCTCACTGGGGTTCTAGCATGAACTGTAAATAACTTATAGCTAAGGAATGATGGCAACGACATAATACATTCATGAAGAAACTTTTCAGTACATAAGATTTATTTTCCATCTCGTGGTAATTCTTGATACCTTTTGAAATGTCTGAAGAATACCATAACCTTTTAAAGGAGCCCTGGTGGCGCTGTTAGGTAAGCATGGACTGCAAACACCAGCCACTCTACAGGAGAAAGAGGAAACCATTTGCTCTTGTAGAGATTTGCAGCCTCGGAAACTTGATACAGAGTCACTATGAGTGACCGTTGACTTGAAGGCCATGGATAAAACCTTCTAAGGAGGAAAAATGTTTGCCCTTGAAAACTTTTGTACTAATAAGTTTTATAAAGAAGATTATTTTTTTTTTAAAGTGGAGTTCCTATAGATAAAAGGCTGTTACACTTTACAGTTGAGGCTTGCCCATATTTAGAATTATGTGACTGTAAGGCTACGTATCGTATATACTCGTGTATAAACCGTTTTTCTTTCTTTTTAAAAAAAATCTTTTTATTAGGGGCTTCTACAACTCTTATCACAATCCATCCATTGTGTCAAGCACATTTGTACGTTTGTTTCCATCATCATTCTCAAAACATTTGCTTTCTACTTGAGTCCTTGGTATCAGCTCCTCATTTCCCCCCTCCCTCCCCACATCCTCTCCCTTACGAACCCTTGATAATTTATAAATTATTATTATTTTGTCATGTCTTACTGTCCGATATCTCCCTTCACCCACTTTTCTGTTGTCCATCCCCCAGGGAGTGGGTTATATGTAGATCATTGTGACCAGTTTCCCCTTTCTCCCCCCACCTTCCCCTTACCCTCCTGATATCATTACTCTCATTATTGGTCCTGAGGGGTCATCTGTCCTGGATTCCCTGTGTTTCCAGTTCCTATCTGTACCAGTGTACATCCTCTGGTCTAG